TTTATTGGGAGAATACCTGTTTGATAGGTTTTCCACAGATGTCTTAGGAAACGTTCTCATTTCTTTACTGGACTTATTTATTTTAAACTAAGCATATGCATATTTCTAGAAAGTTAGTGCAATTTTACTATAGCTCTATCATGCTACAAAGTCAAGTCTGATTTGTTGTCTTCTGTTCCTAACATATTTCATATCCTCTCAATTCCATTTCTCATCTTCCACAGACTTATTGTATTTAATTTATTTTGCTAAGATGGCTTAGTTTGTATTTCTGTGAAAATAATTTGTTCTCATATCTTTAATTTCAGTAGTTATTTATCTCCTTTTTCATGCCATGACTAGAGCTGTCCTCTCTTCCAGATCATTAATGAAGAAGTCAGACCAAACTTAACAAACGTATTTTTTGATATCTCAGTACAAACCTATTTTTTGCCACTGCACCAGTGGGAACATATGTGGTGAATATCTCCACATATGGAGGATCCAAACTTTTTTCTCTAAGCATGTCAACTAATTTGCCTTTTCTGTAACCACCTGGACTGTGGTATTGAAAAGGCATAATACCTTGAGTCTTGAAAATAGGAGGCTAGTTATTCTCCCAAAAGCATACATAAAATTTGTAATAACTATGTAATGCTCTAATTTAAAGGAATTTATTGACCAAAATAGGAGACAATATAACAGCTACAAAAGGTTTCCACCGTTCTCCATGCTTGTTCCATATTTGCAGATGAACAAGACAACTCTCCTTGTCCCATAGAATTTATATTTTTACCTGATTTAATGGTCTAATCTGTTGACTTTTTTCCTGCACTGTGGTTTTGTACACATGTTTAAGTGCAAAAGAACAGGAGTTTTCCACTTAATCTCTTTCATATGGTGCAAAGCACAGATTAAGCTCTTCACTACATTATCAGAAATTTCAGCTGAAATGAATTCTGTCTGACCTGTTGGTAAGAAGTCCTAGGGGAAAATAACTAGAGGAAAAAATCCAGGTCACTTGGCCTACAGACGTATTGCAATGATGATACGGTAGGAGTCCTGGTTCAGCCCAAATTGACCCAAATTTGGCTAAGTCTCCAACTGTCTGTCTCTGCCATTTTATAAGAGTACGTTTAAAAAAATATTGAAAGTAAATCCCGATTGTTGAATTCAGTGTCAAAACTTTGAAGAAATCAAGGGTCACTAACACCACAGAAATGTCGTCGGAGGAGTTGCCATGTTCTCGTTCCCATACGGTCTGGCCACTACAGCCACTTGTTGCATTTCCTTCATTAACATCTTCTTTTAAGAAGCAGTTATACTTCTTTGTTATCTCTGTACCCAGGTGTGAATTTAACAGTCCCAGATTCCAGTTTATTGAATTACATCTCTGGGTTCTCCTCAGTTCAGGGTCTGTGGCTGCCCCCCAACTCTTGCTGCTTTTTTTTTTTTTTTCTAATGAAACTACAATAGGTTTAGCAGTGGTAGGATATTTCTTCTAGCTGAAGCACAGAACCTTTTAAAAAATGTAGAAAATGTATTGTATTTAAAATCTTTGAGCAGGTTTTCACTAGCAGAAGAGATCAAAATTCCTTGCTGGGAGTGGGACCAAGGGCAAGAATGTTTAAAACACTGCTAAATAGTCGTGGTTGATTGTAGTTGTAAATTAACCACAACAGGGTAACACGTTTTCCATATTTCATGTGACCAGCTAAACTATTTCTGAACCATCTTTACCACATCTCTAACACTTTTTTCCCCCCCAGTTTAATCCTGGTTTGGGTCTATAATTTCTGGCATACTTTGGCTGCAAAATTTCCAAACGTATCCCCTGTGCCCTTATGTCAACAGCTTAATGAAGAGCCTTCCTATACAAAATATGTAATATATGCATACATTACTGTAGTGTGGTATGGTTTGGGTTATCTAAATATAATTAGTTATAAATCATTGCCTAGGTTATTTTTTTTCCCCAGGTAAGAAATATATCCTACTTTGAAATATTAGGTTACTGAGCTTCTTCTCTGTATTCCTTTTCCACTTTTTCATGTAAATTTAACAGTATCTTTTTGGACGCCTTAAAATAAGTCAGACTGATATACCTTGATATAAGCAGGTATAACTAACAAAGTCAATGGGAGTTATGTCAGCTTGCCCAAAGACTGGATTTTAGCCTCCATGTTTCAGTGGGGGACTGATACACTGCTTTGATGTGTAGTTGCAGCAGCCAAGGCCTGGTTTTGGAGTGCAAGGTATGGCTCTATGATGACCTGTTACTAATCATATGCTTTTTCAGCAGCATGTCCTTTGGAAATTTAATTGCAAAGTGTAGATATTATTTTTAGATTCCATGTTGGAAAACCATTGTAGTCCTGCATTTTAGTTAAGAATAGTTAGATAGTGCACATCATGGATTTATTTGGCTTTCAGTGGTAATTTCATTGGGTAAATCCTGATACTTGCTGTTTCTTATAATATATAGGATGCAATTTAAATGCTAGAAAAGATTTATCAAAACCATCTGACATCCTCTTGAGTAAGAAACCCTGGTCCTGGAGAAACGGCAAATGGGCAATGCAGAAGTAATTAATTAGCAGAGCAGTTGCCTGCTGCTAGTCTAACATCATGCACTAACTTGCAGGTCACAAGAGAATAGGGTGTTACTGTTTAAAATCATTATTTCCCATGAACTGTAGAAGAAGAATTTTTGTAGAAGAAGAAGTATGGAAAAAAATTTCCTGCAAAATTGAAGAAAGACCCACTTCATGTTTTAGGGAATTTGATTTGAACTCTCAGCATGTATTGGAAGAAAATCTTTGCTTTGATCTGAATGCTATACAATGAGTATTAATATGAAGATGGTTTTCTTCACAAGCTTCAGTAGTTTATATTTTGTATTCTATTCTGTATGCTATTCATATTCTGTATCCATATTTTTCATTTATCAGCCAAGGTTTTGAGGGTAACAGTGGCAGTTCACTAATAACAATATCAGCTTAATATCAGCTTGGCAACATCTATCAGTTTCCTCCCTCTCAGGAAGTCGAATGCATTGCTGAATTTGTGCATCTTTAGGAAGGCTATCTCTCTGAGCAAAGAAGCTAATCTTCAGTTGGACCTTATGTAATTTTGACATTACCATCTCTGTTGAAATATAGCCAATAATTTCTTTTATATGGATGATTCCTTTTTATGAGTTCCTTACTGAGGGTCGGTGGAAGCCAGTAAGGATGCACAATGCATCCCTTAAGCTTTGCTTCTGAGCTCTGCTAAATTATCTGGAACGTGGAGACTTGTGCAGATGAAGTACTTTGGTCTCAAATGGAACGCCTGGGAAGTCACATATTCTTGGGCGGAGAAATGAGCTGTGTATCTGTGAGAGAGAGAGACTGGCAACAGATCTGAGAAGGGGATGTGAAATACAAAATCTTTGGAACTTTTTTGGAAGCTGCCGACTCGAAGGGATCTGTTTTACTTTCAAGGCTTGCAAATTCTCCAAGGGCACCTGTGCTGATTTTCACACCACTGATTCTGTTGACTAAAATCAGCTTTTTTTTGATGAGTTGATGTGAAATAATAATCTAGTATAGCAAACAGTGCTGATGGTAGGTGCAGTAAGGAAATATAAATCAGGCTTTGGGGAGAGGATTGGGAAGAAACAGCAGAACTATTGAATTTGATTAGCAGCAAGTTTGAAAATTTTGGTTGATGAACTCCCTGAGCTAATATTATATTGAACAAATCTCAAGAACACAAGAAATCTCAGAGCATTAGGGAAAAAACGTTGTGTAGACGTTTTTGTGCGTAAGAGTCAGAAGGGACCTGTGTAAATGCAATTTGACCTCAGCCTTATAAAAACTACAGAAAAAGATGGTATGGGATGCAGCTGATAAAGAGCAAAAAGATAACAATGTTTTATATGTTGGCATGTTTCCAGTGGCATTTTACATATTTTTAGGAAGATAGATGTGTCAGCCACAATATGCTGCTCTTGAGGAAATTAGAACTTGTGTGATGGAAATTATTAAGGCATAGTATACTAAAGCTTCATACTGAAGAGCATGTTTAATAAGGAAAGAACAGTTTATAATGTCAGCAAAGCAATTTTGCAGATTAAAAATAGGCTAACTGGTAGATCTTGAGTAATTATACAGAGGGAATACCTATCCAACTGGAACATTTTAGTGAGGTCCTATAGGGATCTGTGTACTTACAGAGTGATTAGGAGTGATGGCACTGGCATTGGCAGCAGTCTAGCCAGCTTGCTTGGTAATCTAAGCTTGTTTAAAATGGACATTTTAACACAGCAACGGTAACACATGTGCAACTAGAGACTGTACTTACAGACAGCTGTGAAAGCAACTTTGCTATTAAGATGAAGATGCAGCTGAATGTGCCCCGCAGTGGCAACACAGTGACTAAGAGATGTAACAATGTTTGGACTTATGCTCTCTTTGATGCAGATGAAGCACAATGAAGGTACATTACGCTTCCTTTCAACATTTGCGATGCCATTGCTAAAACTGGGTGCTGTTGTGAAGTTCACATTATGCTAAAAGTTGCTGGTGAATTAGAAGGGAATCAGGGGAGTTTCAGTAGTGCTTAGAAAATCTGCCTTACAACTAGAAACTAGTTGATCCAAGATAAGTTTAAGGGATTTGCTTAAGATCAACAAGTGTCTTTATGAGACAAGAGGGTAATAGGATCCAGCTGTTCATGTACAAAGTAAAAATAAGGGGGAGGTGTATGGGGGGAGAATCACTGTTGTTGTGACCTATTCACTTCAAACCAACCGTTACTAAAGTGTCTAGGTCAGGCCAGCTGCTCCGCTACCTAAAAGTGCAAATATTTTTGTTGGCTCATGCAAATGTCGTGCTTGCCCATTAGTAAAACAGTATTAGCTTAGCTAACTGTAGCTGACAGGAAAATGTGCATTTCTATCTTGATGCTGTCCATAACTTTATTTTAGAAACCTAATATAAAATGGAGACTGATAAGATTCTTCCCTCTTTTTTTAGGGCACCAATGCCTCTGCTCTGGAAAAAGACATTGGTCCGGAGCAGTTTCCAATCAATGAGCACTACTTTGGATTGGTCAATGTAAGTACCATTTTTGACAGGCAAACCATACACAGAACTACAGTTTTGGTGTTATTTTAACGTTGCTTGCCCCTTCTTTTAATTTTTTTTTTCCCCAGTTCTAAGGCTTTGATTTGAAAAAGTGCTGCTCATGTTCCAACTTTAGACAAAGTGGATTGCAAAACTATATCAGATATTTGAAGATAGCTTCATACTCCCCAGTGAAAGCAGCTTACTAGTCTATGAATGTTTTTAGTGGCTAGAACTTACACTTTAATAAAGTTAAAAGTCTATTTCAGCCATAAAATGTGAGGGACAGTCTTTTTCTTAATTTTTAGTAGGAAGTGATGGAGGTATGTGCAAGTTTAGATACAACAGTCTGCATCATGGGCTCTCTAAGGAGTAGCTTTTTTATCTAACTGAGAGAGAATGAGAGAAAGGACCATTTAATCATTTGTTTATTCTCATATAAATTAAACTGAGACAATACTTCTTCCTACTGAAAACATTAGTCATTCTGCTACTGAGCAATAAGATGGAGCCCAACAAGAACATATCAATATATGGAAACAAGTTTCAGAGAGACTCACTCTTGAGACTTGAGACTCACTCAATAAATGTATTTCTTATTAATGGAAACTTCTACTTTATAGCTTAGTTAATTTGTAGAACCTTATTTTTTTCTGTGTCGGGGAGGGTGTGAAAATGCAGTCCTGCAGCAGCTGCATGGTAAAATGGCTGGTATGTGACAGGGATACAGAAGCCAGAAGTTGAATGAAGCAGCTAGTTTTATTATGATGCACAGGGATTAAGACTGTTTTTACTTTCACATGGCAGTTTGGGAACACCTGCTACTGTAACTCCGTGCTGCAGGCATTGTATTTTTGCCGGCCATTTCGGGAAAATGTGTTGTCATATAAGGCCCAACAGAAAAAGAAGGAAAATCTCCTGACTTGCCTGGCAGATCTTTTCCACAGTATTGCTACTCAGAAGAAGAAAGTTGGAGTTATTCCACCAAAGAAGTTCATATCAAGGTTACGAAAAGAGAATGGTAAGTACAAAATCAGAATCCTTTCAGAGAGTCACAGGTTGGTCAGGAAATTTTGGGCAGAGTGTTCATATTAATCAGATGTTCACATTAGATTCCTAAATCATTTTCATTACTATCTGGTTTTAGATATTAACGTTTTAGTATCTGTGTGTATAATCTTATGCTTGAAATAAGCAAAACAGATTGGATAAGTTTCCTGAGGTGTGTCGTTTGTTTAATGATTTTTTCACAGCATGGTGGGACAGACAGCACTGAGCAGTGAGCTGGGGTGGGAATAGGGTGGCATCTGCACGTTCTGCCATGACTTTTTTAGTGGTTTATAATTTAGAGAGTATGACAGAGAGAGACATTGTGGGTAGTTGGCAGTGTGGAAGCAGTGTCACCTAAGAGGGCGGCAGATGCAACTAGTGCAAAATGTCCTGAAGGATAGGCAAGTGTGTTCAGTATACTACATGTGAGCTAGTTCTCTTGTTCCTAGTAATGGCACAGTTTAACTTTTTGAAGCCCCAGGCCCTTTTGAGAAGTTAGCAACAGCATATGCCTGATTTTGTAGGGCTCCTTTTTAAGGGATGTGAGGAACATCTTGAAATAAGGAAGCCTGCCACACAGTTCCATTTTGGCCTAGGTTCATGTCAATGTGGGTGGTATGCTTAGAAACAAGGGAGCTTTGAACGAAGAGACAAAGTGTAAGTCGAACACCTGGAAGAAATTGCTTCTTGGTGACAGCATATAAATGGGCAGACTGTTCATTCCAAAGCAGGCAATTGAAAGTGTGACAAAGTTAGCTCTGAGTCATCTGGTGATAAATGCCCCTACGCTGTTGGGAATCACTTTTAGGTGCTGCATCTTATGTTCTCAGCTTTTTTAAATTGGGGCCAGACTCAGTGTGGGTTAACTTGGTTATGTGTCCAGGCTAGACACTGCAAAGGCAAAGAGTCTTTGCAATAATATTTTCTGAGGAAATGCATATGGGCTTTTCTAGGAGCAGGGGGATAAAAGTACGCATTTATTGAGAATGTAAATTCCTTTTTTCCTCCACGTGGTGGGCAAATTAAGCCTTTCCTGGAGAAAACGTCTGTTCTACTTCACCACCAGGATATTTTCCCCCTCCTCCTGCAAGCATTTCCTATTGAGGAAGACAAGTCTATGCTCATCAGACTTGTGTGTAGAAAATGAGTTTTTTCAGATGGTATTGTTATTATATGTCAGTGTCCAATGCCTTCTGCTTCCCCAGCCACATGTCTTACTGTCCAAACTCAGTTATGTTCTTAAGTGTCTGCGTAACTTGGAATATATGGGTGGGAGTTAGTATTGCCTAAAGTTAATTGCCTAAATTAATTAATTGCCTAAAAGTCTAAGCAATTAATTTAGGTTCCCTCTGTAGTCATTAGATTTCTCACACTTATCTTAGGCACAGATAGTTGACTGGGATCACAGAATCACAGAATCGTTTAGGTTGGAAGGGACCTCTGGAGATCATCTAGTCCAACCTCCCTGCTCAAGCAGGGTCACCTAGAGCATATTGCCCAGGATCACATCCAGACGGGTTTTGAATATCTCCAGGGAAGGAGACTCCACTACCTCTTGCTTTTTTCAGCTGTAGCAGGAGCCTACACAACTAGCTCCAAAGAAAAGCCTAGCCTTTTAGACAGCTAAAGTTAGGTGAGATGAAGCCTTCCCTCAGAGTAGTTTCATTGAAGTCAACAGGACTGCCAAACTGCTTTTCGTTGGTATGATTTCAATTACTTTGTTGAGCAAGGCCCAGTACATATATTTGGAAAGAAATAATGAATTTAGTTTGCTCTCTTGAAGGAAAGGACACACTCAGCTTTAGAAATCTCGACTCTCTTCTTTGCAGATCTCTTTGACAACTACATGCAGCAGGATGCACACGAGTTTTTAAATTACTTGCTGAACACCATCGCAGACATTTTGCAGGAGGAGAAGAAACAGGAAAAGCAAAATGGGAAATTGAAAAATGGCAACATGAATGAACCTGAAGAGAACAATAAACAAGAACTCACCTGGGTGCATGAGATTTTTCAGGGAACACTGACTAACGAAACTAGATGTTTGAACTGTGAAACCGTAAGCATTGTGATAGTTGGGTTTTTTGGGTTTTACCCCTTAGTAGGTAGATACATTTTGTGTATACAAGTATGTGAATCTTTTCAGACATCTGAGAGTTGTGGATATTCCTGTAGACTTTACTTCTTGAAGTGAATATATCCTTTTCTAAATATACATTTTGCTAAGCATTACTTGGCTAAACTATGCCAAGTCTTGCTGTCGTAATACATACCCCTACAGTTAAAATCCTTGTTAGTCAATCGGTACTCTTCCTTATTACTGTAACTTCAGGAAAAGATATTTGAATTATTATTCCATGAATCAGGGATAGTCATATAACTCCTAAGTGAAAATTTAAGATGAATTTGTGTTAGTTCATTCCTAAGAATGTGACTGACATACAGCAGGTTTGTTATTAACAAACCATATGTTTTCTTTTATCTTCCTAATATTTTTAAAGGATGCTGTCAGTTTGAAGTCTCTTATGTTTGAAGAATGAGTAAAAAGCAGGTTTTAATTAGAAAATCTGATTACAAGCCTCCTATCAATTTCTGTGGTTTTTCAATCACACCTTCCTATTTGGAAAAAAAAAAAAAGAAAAGAAAAAAAAGTTTTTCTCTGATAGGCTGCTATGTAAAAGACCAACGCAGACAAGAAAAACCTATGTTTCAGGGAGAACAGTGAAACTGACTTTGCAAAAAGGATGGAGTTCACCTCACCTAACCTTTGCTATGTAAAAGGTTGGTGTCAAGGATGAACTGGTTATCTCAGCTCCTTCTATTGACGATGGAGATTGCAAAGGACCTGCAGCAGGAAGCTCGCTCCATCTGTCTTAGGCTGGTTCATGAAACAGTTTTCAGCAGTATGAGGTATTCTGTCTGTGCTGTGCAACTTGTTCTTGTTCCATGATGCTACTGTCCTCGCATTGTGCTGTGACAATTATTTGTGCAGCAGTGCTGCAAACTGGGCTAGCAAACTTATCTGGCCTAAGAATAGTATGTGTTTTCACCCGAGACCGAAGACTACATCTAAAGAAAGCACAACTTTAGATTACGTGCATTAAGATGGAAGGAAGGGCTCAGAGAAGGCATCTTAAGACAGCAAGTTGAGACTAAATGCCTAACTTAAGAAAGCTGAAGTTAGGTGAGATGAGTCCTACCCAGGTCGTACCAAACACATAAAAGACTCAATCTGTGATCATACAGAGTAGCACTGTAGTCCAACAAGAAGATAAGACTTCTCAGGGAATGTGGGTGGAGAGGGGAGTGATACAGTGATAGTCAGCATGAGATTGGACCAAGTCTGGAACAAGACTGTTGAAGGAAAAACATGAGAGAGAGATTGAAAACTATTTCTCTAATCTTTTCCAATTATAAAAGCCCTAGTATTCATAGGAAGTTAAAATAGATGAAAGGGTAGAATTATTTTTTTAGTTGACAAGCTTTTTTAAACAGATGTGGTCTAATTCTAAACTGATATCCAGTGTTTACTCAGGCAAACTGTACTGCAGACAGGATGTGTCCTTGGGTAAAATCAAAACTGCACAGTATCCTATTTGTAATTCAAAGTGACTAAGCTTTTATGGAAAAAACATTGCTAAGTACTGCTGCTGTAGGAAGGCTTGTCTGTAACTTCCTTTGAATGCGGAAATACTATGTTCAGTATATTTTTTCTAGTTTGTACTATTTTTATTGTATTTATTTTCTCTTGAAACCTTCGGGAAACAGTAAAATGGATTAAACTTTGCTAAAATGTAAATATATAATGCATGAAGAATCATTCAGATCCCAGCAGTTCATATTCTCACTTCAAAAGAATGCAGTTTGAATTCAATTTTCCAGATGCCTTTAGTATGGTCTACATTATTCTAATTTCAGCCTGGTCATCTTCCCCTTTCAGTACATGTTTTATACTCTGCTTGCTGAAACAAATAACAAAATTCCTGACCTCCTTGTGGTACTTAGATGAAGCACTATACTTTGCCAAAGACTTGGTATTCAATCTCTTTCTTGATATGTACTATGCCTAATACTACTTACTCTGCTGTGTGGTTCCAGCAGTAGAGACACAATGTTCTGTGAAGCTTTGTTGCTCTGTCTTTTGAATTCTAGTTGTATGTTTATGCTGCAGCTGATTGCTGCCAGTTTTGTGGTTTCCCGTGCTCTTTAATAGACTAATATCTCAGAGAGGATTTTATTTGAAGATCTGCTGTTCATCTTATTTGGATGTACTTTCTACCTCTGTACATCTTTGATATTATCAGAATTCATCCTGCTAAAGGTGTCCCTCTGAATTCAGAGGGCTGCATTCCCTGTAATTATAGGGTCCCTGATGTCATGCAAAGACAAGCTCAATGTAGTGCAGAACTTCCATATCCTTAGAATTTGAGAAATCTCAGCCTGAGTGATGTGGGTCAGGTCCAACAATGGGACATGGATCTAAGTTAGAACGATGGATTCAGCCGTGCACCAAAGCTCTTGGTTTGAATTTTGCTATCCTATCTGTTTTCTAGTTATTCTACAGAAATGCAGTCACAGGTGCCAAATATGAAGTGTTCATGCAGTGTTGCTCTGAGTTTTACAAACAGAGTTAGTTGTTACGAACATGACCTAATTCAGGTGCAGTAATTCCACAGCAGTTTCTATGGTCTGAAAAAGACCCGATGGCTTTTCTGGATCTTAAGAGCCTTCTGGAATTCTCTTACTAGATAAGGGGGAAGCACTGAATTTTGGAATTCAATTGATAACCTGTCCTAATTCAATCTTTAATCTACAAAAATGTGTGATTAGATACTGAAGAAGCTTTAGTATTTTATATGATTTCAGATGACCCAAAATGAATCTTTGTCTTACTTGCAGTAAGTTTCCAGATCTATTTAGGTCTGCCACCCCTGAAAAAGTCAAACTTGATATTGATTGGTGGGAGGTCCCAATCAAAACCAAAGGCCAGAATTATCTTCGAATTTTAGAGAAGCCTGAGCTCAGAGTTCCTGACTACCTGTATAAGTTGCTAAACTACAGCTATTCTGAATAGATATCACAAACATTTCTCTAATTTTGAATCTCACCACTGCCATAAAAGACTGAAGTTCTTCAAGGAGGTGACCTGTGAGGGACATAAGTAGGATTTTAAGAGTTGTTGTCTTTCCAGTTTGCAACAAATTGGCTTAATTTCATAATTCTCTCTGCGAGAGAATTCTCACAAGAAATGTTTTGGCTTAGTTGAAATATGGCAGCAATTATCTATTTGAATGACTTTTTATGTTACTTCACCTGCTGCAAAATTAAACATTCTAGGTCAGAAGTAATTTTCAAGGCAAAAATCAAGATCTATTGTTCTGGAAATGGAAAGAAACCCCTCACTCTGTCTGAAGTTTTCCCCTCTTATTCCTTCTAATCAAAGTATTGGCAAAAATCAAAATTTTTTTGTAAAATATAATCACTTTGTCATTTTTTATTTTTAATCTTTTGTTTAGCCTGGTCAGAATTATTGACCAGTAACAATATTCAGTGTGGAAATGCAGTTGTGTCAGCCAGAAATATAAAGCCTACCTTCTGACTGCTCACTGAAGAGAAGAAATAATATGCAGTTGAATATGATATTTCTCAACAGATGCCTACCTTGGAACCTATCTTCCTTGCGTCCTTAATATAGTGGAAATAATTATGTAGGACGTAAACCGTGCTTCTATAATGTAATACACAGGTTAATAAAGTTCCAGTTGAAGAAGGAACTGGACTGAATAAACACAGAACTGTGTTGCATAACAAGGGAACATACATACTGCATCAGTCGCAGCTAATTTAGAGGATGATAATTTTCCTATTTGTTCATCCCAGGATAGTATGTGCCCGATTATACATTTAAAAAAAGCTCAACTTCCTGTGTTCTGGTACAGTATGAATTTAGCTTCAAACTGGCAGAAGTATTCATAAGTATTCAAGCTGATCCCAGGACATGAGCTTTAGGGCAATTTATAAATGAAAATGAGATGAAGCATTCACTCCTTACCTTTAATAGTAGATATTTTTCACTTTGCTCATTCTTGCGTAAGAATGTAAAGGTCCCAGAGGAGCTGAAAACTGGCTGTTCCAAAAAAAAAAAGGTGTGGAGAAGTCATGTTTATTTAATGAAGAGTGAATTGCAGTCACAGGGTTTTGATAAGGAACAATCAGAAGTTGAATGATATGAAAACTGGATTGATGGGGTTTCTGACCTGATAGAACGAATATAGTCACACTGAGCTAGAATTTTTTTTAAAGCATTGAAATGAATTATGTTTGTGTAATTTATTTTAGCAGAAATTGTTCCATTCTTAACTTTTGCACACAGGTATCTACAACATTTGTATGTACGACTTCTTACTAAGTTTCTATTTTACGTATATATTTTTTGCTACAGGTTAGTAGTAAAGATGAAGATTTTCTTGACCTTTCTGTTGATGTGGAGCAGAACACATCAATTACACACTGTCTAAGGTAAATGAATGTATCTCTTTGGCAGATACTTCTATCTGACTTTGCTAAATTTTTCTAGTCTAGTAGATACAGAAATGAGAAGTTGAACAGCATCATTTATTTGAGCTTTTCCTGAGCAGAGGAAAAAGACAATACAATGGATTTTCTCCTCAAATGACAAAATGTGTCATTAATGAGCTTTGTTTTAGCCCCTTTCTCTTTGGATGTGTGTGTTTGAGAGAGAAGAAAAAATTCCCCTCTTGGGGAAAAGGATTGATCACCTTGTCACCTGGAAGAATTGCTGTAGAATAAGAATTGGCTGCAAAGGGATTTAAGTATGCTTATCTCTAAGCTTCTACTCAAGTGCTTTGTTGATTAGGACTTATGCACATATTAAAGTTAAATGTATGCTTTGCAGAATGAGGAGTAGAGTCCCTAGAGGGCAAAAGATTTCAAAAGTGTACTTTTTCACCGTGTAAGCTTCCTATTCTGTGTTTCATCTGAAAATTATAGGGAGAAATTTTCGATTCGAAGTTTCAGTTCTGTTCTTAGTACACTTTTAACTATTAAAAAATGCTTCAGACATCAAAATAATTTTCAGATTTGCATGGATGATTATCCTGAGAGATGTAAAATATCTGGAGTCCTGGCAATGACTGCAATAAATTGATATCTAGCTTTAAGACAACATATTGCTACTCTAAGCTAACAATATCAATTGGCCGAATTACTTTCTCAAGCTCCAGAATTACTGCCAACTTTGAAATTGCACTTAGCAGTTATTCTGCAATGCCTAGGAATGGTTGCCTAACATCTCGCACCAAACTGCGAATTACAGAGAAAGCAAGCATCTGAGGTACTAAATGCTTCCTGAGTCAGAGAGCAGTGATTTTTCTGATTTCTCCTGCTGTGAATACCACAACCATACTCAGAAACAACTATTGCATTTTAAAGTGCTATTTTTCCCCTTCTCAGTTTCAGGTCAGTCTCTTGTGGGATATTGTAGCGGTGCTTAGCCCTTAAGCATTCCACACTGCAGTAGCGAGCCTGATTTTAAAAGGAGAGCAACGTGAAGAGTTGCCTTGGAAAGGAGTGCATTATTTTTTAACTTGGTCTCTGTCTGTTCATGGACACTGAAAATTGAAGCAGTATTGGTACTGCAGGCTTTTGTTATTAATACTTTTAAGTTCTTCACTGTAGTCACTACTTTGAACCTGTTTTTGTTAGTATTACTTACCTTTCCCTGTGGTGTTCAAAGTGCATTTGAAACTATATTGGAATGCAAGGCCTAAAAGGAGGCTGAAGTGTATATCTCCTGAGGTCCCTTCTAATCTGAGTTATTCTACGATTTTATGAAATATAAGAGCGCTGAATCAGCGGATATTAAGTGCTGACTGTTTTTTACAGCTTAGTGAGCTTGTTAGAAAGTGCTGCTCTGCATAAGTTACTATCTGCCTCTCAGCTTTCTCCAATTTTTATTTAACTTAGTTGTTAAGCTTCCTGGAAGCATTTTTAAAAGGCCTTCTTATGCAAAGGTACAGAGTACTTCAGTAAAATTACCAATAGCCTTTCTACGACTGAACAGCCAGGGGCTGTAGCTTATAGCATGGAAGAGCTGCATCTGCGCTACTGTAACCACTAGGTGAATGGTGGGATCTAAAGAGACCCCAGGAGGTCAGTGCCCGTTTCCACCTCAAGCAGGATGCTTGTCCAAGCTGTTTCAAAAGTTCTTCTAATGGTAGTAACTCCGCAGCCTATCCCCAGTCCTAGCTGTTCTTAATGCTGACTTCTTTTTTTCTGCAGCGTAAAGTGAATCTTCCTTGTTTCAGTTCAAGCCCGTTGCTACTTTACCAGTGCACCCTGAACATAAAACACAGGTTGCTCCCCTTCCTCTTGGCAGCAGCCCTTTACATACAGGGAGAATGTTATTACCCCTCCCCATTCTTTTTTTAAGTTAAACAGCCTGAGGTCATTCAACCTTTCCTTCACAGATTGTCTTCTCCAGATCTCTGCTCATGCTCATTACTCTTGTGTCTTGTCTCCAGCTGAACCCTCTATCTTTCTTAAAGTGCAGTTACCTAAAACTAGGCATTGAAAAGGTAAATTAAAGAAAATTAAAGACAAGCTGTGCAAGACAGCATTTCAGTGGAATGAATTTCTTTACCACTACAAATGAATGTTCTTTACAGTTTTTCTTCTGTAGGTTTTCAGGTTGAAAAAGTCCCTGTATACATAAAAGGTTCAAAGAATACAAGCCTCTGGCATAGTGTAACTACACCAAGACACGTCACATGCATGGAGCGATAATAGATATCTAATAACAAATATATTACCTATCCATTATTTTTATTTCCACTAGGAGATGCAAAGTTTACTAGTCCATTTGATCCTGACTTTTCACTAGAGTCTGCCTATGCACCTTTTTTTATTCCACTAAGAATTCTCTCATTCCTTAAAATAGAAAATTCGTATTATTTGTGCGTGTTAATAATAGAAATCATCTTTCTCACTGTAGGGCAGATCTTGTGGAGAGAATAGAACTGTAGGAGCATATTTTTTAAATCCAGATGAAGTCAGTGATGAGTTAGTGTGTCCTAACTGGGTGCACTTAAAATTTCCTTTCTCCTGTTAAAATACAATATAAACAGAATACAGACTGGCCTGTTAAATGGAGTAGGACAGAGTTAGAAAGGTCTTGAAACTAACTTTGTCACTGTAGAGAAAAGCCTATAGCTCCTGTACCTGCAAACTTTGCAAGAAGACCAGTCAATGATCGGTTGCTTTTAAATGCTCAATATCCATTAGACGTGCCATGCTGAAAATTCTTCATTAATGAAACAACTGATGAAGTTGCAGTTGCAAACAGCAGCAAAAACATCTTGTTTTCACCTGTGCACATCCCTTCCCCCAAGGAGAGAGTTATTGCTCATAAATATGCCATTGTTTTTCTTCCTGGTAAAGGCATTTTAAATTTGTGCTAAATAAGCAAATAAGTAGTGCTTCTAAATTCGGTGACTGCACTTCGCTTGCTTTCATAGAGTAACAGCCTTTTTAGTTGGAAGTAAAAGATAAGGGGACAAAAAGATAAATGTTAAAGGACATTTAAGGTAATGTCTCTAATCTTCTTATGTATTTTTTTCTATTAAGTGCATATTTCTCCTGCATTCAGAGATAAAATTCCCATAGAGTCAACTCATCATTTAAAATGGTGCATATTACAGATTTCAGCACAATTAATACTTTTTTAAAAGAATTCATAAATTCTTTGAATTTAATTTTAATGGGAAGCTTAGCTTGGAGCAAATAAATATTTATCAAATTTTACCATCAGTGCATTTTTATTTACACAAGGAGAATATTATTTCCATAGCTACTCTTTGAGGTGGGAAGGAACCTAACAAACTTAATAGATGTTTCCTTCCTTAATAGAAGACTTAAATGTACGCATACTCTGCTGAATC